ATTTTCCCCTCACAATTTCCAACCCCAATTCCCAGAATCCCCCATTTTCCCACCCCATTCCCAAAATTCCCCTCACAATTTCCAACCACATTCCCAAAATTCCCCTCACAATTTCCAACATTCCCAAAATTCCCCTCACAATTTCCACTTCCATTCCCAAAATTCCCCATTTCCCCTCACAATTCCCCAAAATTCCCCATTTCCCCTCACAATTTCCACCTCCCATTCCCCAAATTCCCCATTTTCCCTCACAATTCCCACTCCCATTCCCCAAATTCCCCATTTCCCCTCATGATTTCCAACCCCAATTCCCAAAATTCCGAATTTCCCCTCACGATTTCCACCTCCCATTCCCAGAATCCTCCATTTTCCCTCACAATTCCCCAAAATTCCCCATTTCCCCTCACAATTCCCACCTCCCATTCCCAGAATCCCCCATTTCCCCTCACAATTCCCAGAATCCCCCATTTTCCCCTCATAATTCCCCAAAATCCTCCATTTTCCCCTCACAATTCCCTCCTCCCATTCCCAGAATCCCCCATTTCCCCTCACAATTCCCCAGAATCCTCCATTTTCCCCTCACAATTTCCACCTCCCACTCCCAGAATTCCCCTCACGATTTCCAACCCCAATTCCCAGAATCCCCCATTTCCCCTCACAATTCCCCAAAATTCCCCATTTCCCCTCACAATTTCCAACCCCAATTCCCAAAATCCCCCATTTCCCCTCACAATTCCCACTCCCATTCCCAAAACCCCGGATTTCCCCTCACGATTTCCATCTCCCATTCCCAGAATCCTCCATTTTCCCCTCACGATTTCCACCTCCCACTCCCAGAATTCCCCTCACGATTTCCAACCCCAATACCCAAAATCCCCCATTTTCCCCTCACAATTCCCACTCCCATTCCCCAAATCCCCAATTTCACCTCACAATTCCCACTCCCATTCCCAAAATCCCCATTTCCCCTCACGATTTCCACCTCCCATTCCCAGAATCCTCCATTTTCCCCTCATGATTTTCACCTCCCACTCCCAGAATCCTCCATTTTCCCCTCACAATTCCCACTCCCATTCCCAAAATTCCCCATTTTCCCTCATGATTTCCAATCCCAATTCCCAAAATTCCGAATTTCCCCTCACGATTTCCACCTCCCATTCCCAGAATCCTCCATTTTCCCCTCACAATTCCCACTCCATTCCCAGAATCCCCCATTTTCCCCTCACAATTCCCCAGAATCCTCCATTTTCCCCTCACGATTTCCACCTCCCACTCCCAGGATTCCCCTCACGATTCCCACTCCATTCCCAGAATCCTCCATTTTCCCTCACAATTCCCCAAAATTCCCCATTTCCCCTCACAATTCCCACTCCCATTCCCCAAATCCCCAATTTCACCTCACAATTCCCACTCCCATTCCCAAAATTCCCCATTTTCCCTCATGATTTCCAACCCCAATTCCCAGAATCCTCCATTTTCCCCTCACAATTCCCACTCCCATTCCCAGAATCCTCCATTTTCCCTCACAATTCCCCCAAATCCTCCATTTTCCCCTCACAATTCCCACTCCATTCCCAGAATCCTCCATTTTCCCCTCACGATTTCCACCTCCCACTCCCAGAATTCCCCTCACGATTTCCAACCCCAATTCCCAAAATCCCCCATTTTCCCCTCACAATTCCCCAAAATTCCCCATTTCCCCTCACGATTCTTTCCCAAATTTCCCGTTTTTTCCCTCTTTTCCCACCTTCTCGTCCCACTGGAAGTCGGGCGCGATGGTGAGCTCCCTCACCATTTCCAACCCCAATTCCCAGAATCCTCCATTTTCCCCTCACAATTCCCACTCCATTCCCAGAATCCCCCATTTCCCCTCACAATTCCCCCAAATCCTCCATTTTCCCCTCACAATTCTTTCCCAAATTTCCCGTTTTTTCCCTCTTTTCCCACCTTCTCGTCCCACTGGAAGTCGGGAGCGATGGTGAGCTCCCTCACGACTTTCACCTCCCATTCCCAGAATCCTCCATTTTCCCCTCACAATTCCCACTCCCATTCCCAGAATCCTCCATTTTCCCCTCACAATTCCCACTCCCATTCCCAGAATCCTCCATTTTCCCCTCACAATTCCCACTCCCATTCCCCAAATTCCCCATTTCCCCTCACAATTTACACTCCTATTCCCAAAATCCCGGATTTCCCCTCACGATTTCCAACCCCAATTCCCAAAATCTCCCATTTCCCCTCACAATTCCCACTCCCATTCCCAAAACCCCGAATTTCCCCTCACGATTTTCACCTCCCATTCCCCAAATTCCCCATTTCCCCTCAGGATTCTTTCCCAAATTTCCCGTTTTTTCCCTCTTTTCCCACCTTCTCGTCCCACTGGAAGTCGGGAGCGATGGTGAGCTCCCTCACGATTTCCAACCCCAATTCCCAAAATCTTCCATTTCCCCTCACAATTCCCACTCCCACTCCCAGAATCCTCCATTTTCCCCTCACGATTTTCACCTCCCATTCCCAGAATCCCCCATTTCCCCTCACAATTCCCAGAATCCCCCATTTCCCCTCACAATTCCCCAAAATTCCCCATTTCCCCTCAGGATTCTTTCCCAAATTT